ATTCGTTTAGGATTTTCAAACAACCTGGTCTCTTTTAAAATACTTTTAATTTTTTCTTACGTGGTTTTCCAGATGTAGTGACGACAACATTAAAGTTTAAAGAAGAAAATTCTAACATTTAAACCGACTAAGCAATAACATAGTAAACTTGCATAATTAAACAGCAACTAAAAATGATAGGTTTTACTAAATCTTTTCCTGTGCAATTATTACTAGCATTGGAGACAAGGATAATAGTTTATTTGAAAGAGAAAAGAACAGGCTTTGAAGTAAGCCTAAAAGCGTTTAACTAGAAATAGTATTTCGAAAGTTATTAAGCACAAAAGATGAATTGCGTTTATTTTGATACACCCTGTATAACAAAACACTTAAAGTATGCTCCCTCGGGAAATAGTGAATTTTGTTTTCCCTCGAATCTGAATGTTTCCCTCGACTTCGTCTCGGGAAACGTTGAGATTCTCGGAAAAACAAAATTCACTATTTCCCTCGAGAGCATACATTAAGTGTATAATGTTTGTTATGCGCCTGCGATGATTATGGTATAAATAATTAAAAAGAACGTCATATAAGAGCGATTGAGTCGGAGTGTCTCAATTAGCCCCACTGTCTCAATTTGCCCCGCATCACCCTACTTGTTACTACGGAAAAAGGAAAGGAAACAGTATTGTACTGTCTAGGACTAGAGGCGGTAGAGCCCAATATTAGCAAATGTAAACATTTGATACTAGCCAGACAGGTCAGTGATTTCTCTTTAAAATTTTGGATTTAGTACATAATTCGTATTCATTAATTATAGTAAGGCTTTAGCCATTTTCTTGGTCTGATAATGATTTCCTAATAATATAGATAACTAGGCTATAATCTATACATCACAAATTTACAGTGTCAGACGCGCACAGACTGACATACGAATGCACATAAATTTTAGAGTTTTCTACTTCTACTAAGGTCACTAAGGCTACTAACAGTTTTTATTGTGTCTCAATCATCTGTTTATTTCTAGTTCATTAATAGTGGTTCTCAAATTGACAAATATATTTCTATATTTATTTGATAGTGGCATATATAGTGATACATGTAGGCTATTTACACAAAGCAATCCTGGATATGAATTATGCCATAGAGACGACACAAGCTGTCCATCAAAAAATAACGGTATTCTATTTCACAAAGCAAAAAATTTAAATCTCACTTGTACAGTATTATTAAGAATATATATTTAAAGCAGAAAATTAAAGCTTGTGTCAAAACGACAGCTGTTTATAAAATTTATAAATGTGGTATAAACCAGGGCCTTTTTTAAGGATTTTCCCGTGGGGGGCATTTTTTGAAAAGGGACATTTCTGTGAGATAATATATTACAGGGCGATAGCAATATTGGCTGAAGGCCATGTGTGCGCCGAACATACCATGCACGCATGGATGAGGGGGGGGGGGGGTACTCCCCAGAAAATTTTTGAAATTTGAAGCACAGAAATGCCATTTCCTGCATTCTGAGCATCCAAATGCGCTCCAAAATGTATACTAAATATACTTGTATTTGAAATAAAAGAAGGAAAAAACCCACAAAAAGTAAAAAAATATTAACCATAATTTATCATTACTTATTAGAGGAGGATCCCAATGGTCACGTGTGTGGGGGTGTACTCCCCAGAAAATTTTTGAAATTTGAAACACGGAAATGCCATTTCCTGCATTCTGAGCATCCAAATTTGCTCTAAAATTATGCTAACTATACTTGTATTTGAAATAAAAGAAGGAAAAAATGCACAAAAAGTAAAAAAGAATATTAACCGTATACGTAATTTACCATTATACTTATTAGAGGGGGATACCAATGGCCGAAGGCCACGTGTGTGGGGGGCATAATCTCCAGAAAATTTTTCAAATTTGAAACTTGGAAATGCTCTTTCCTGCATTCTGAGCAACCAAAAAATAAAAAATTATTAACAATAATTTATCATTACTTAGTGGTAGAAAAACGTAACAATTTAGATCGATTTTGTTAAACAAGGACAAAGGATAAAGCCTAAAACTTACTTTCCGTTTATTTATTTGTTATTCTTCGCTGTTTTGTTGGTATAAATTTAGGGAAAAGGGACTTTTCCTGGGGGGCAAAATGTGATTTCGTGGGGGGGGGGCACAAGGGGGGACTGGGGGGGCAAATGCCCCCCCCCCCCAGCTTATATGTTAAAAAAAGGTCCTGGTATAAACACAGTAATAAACAGTGCTCATTGAAAGACATGAAGACATTGTCGTTTGACTTATCTTTGAGGTATGACGTTACTGTAATACTGTAGATTTTCAACAGACAGCTAGACTTTGACATATACATATACCATGATCGTTGAGATCTTGCAGGAAATTTGATAGTCTTTTGACGGGATTTAAATTTTTTGATATTAAGGCCTTTATAATCAACAATCTCGATACAGTTGGCGATGTTTCGGAAATCAAAAGATCGCGCTATTTCGTTCCAGTTCCACATCTCATCAATAAATAAATTCTTTTGGTCCGAGTATCAGGATATACTTTAATACTAACAGTTAAATAAATATAAACCACATTGGTCGGTCTAGAGATATGACTTTTCTTGTAGGCTTATTACCACGCCGCCCAGGCATGCTTTCTTTGGCAAGTCTATAAGTTGAAATCGGATCTAACTTGCTTGAATGGTAACTCGACACTAGATTATAGAGCAGAGAGTCACAACACGAGAAATATTAATTTTTAATTGCAGTTCTCTTCACGATTTAGATTTCTTGTTGCAAATTTAAATTTCATCACACAAAATTGCAAATATTGTTACAAACGCGACCAACACGCTTCTCTCCCACCCTACCCATAGTATCATTTTAATTTATCACCCAGAATCTGGGTGACACGTGACCAGCCGAAACCAGGGTCTTTCCTTCGCCTCGCGCCGTTCTAAGAAGACCCTGGGACGAGGTTGGTGGAACCTTTGAAATAAAGGACATAGTAATCGACCCTACATATCAGCGCCTAAGGATTGTTTCGATACCATGGCCGAGTCCTCGATTACAATTCAAAATATGCCGCTCGAGCATAACCACAAAGAAGCGTTGCATAGGGGAGTACAGGGAACGATGAGCAAAGTCCGAGAGCGCTTTTGAAATCCACAGTTTCGTCGAATGCAATTAGTGTAAGCAGGGCATTTTTTAACTACGTAGCTACTGGGGCATTTAACCCAGTAGGCCCTTTGTTTGCCCCAGTAGAGAAGCAAGATTTTCAGATGACCTGGGCCCCTTTGATCATTAGTAAAAAGCCAACCTTGTTGAAAAAACTACATCTGCCTGCTTTCTCATATCCTCTCACATTCTCGACATTCCATCTTATAAAAGTCAGCACAGACAGCGCGGAGCTAAACGGGTGTACATTGGAGGGGCTGTAATCCCCCGCAGTCCCTCCTGGTGGGACATACCCTCCCACCCCCCCCCCCACCCCCAGTCATCAGGTAGTAGGCAAAATATCTAATCCCAGTTGGATAGGAAGTAAAGAAACTAAAATATTTGAGTTACACTGATTAAAATCTAATAATTGTAGCTAAAATGTAGACTGTGTGGGGAGGAGACTCTCCTTGATACTTGTAATTTTTTAAAAAAATGCCCTGCAGTGTAAGAAGGCAATGGCCAAACCATTGAAGAGTCCAACTTCTTCGAGCCTACCAAGTTTTAGAACAAATTTTACACGGCCATCTTCGATTACCGGAGTGGACTTTGCCGGAGTGGACTTTACCTGATATCACAAAATTGCCAAGAAGAACGTCGCCAAAACATACATAGCGTTGTTTACATGTGCCGTGCGGTACACTTGAAGTTGTACAAGGACCTGTAAGTATCCTTAATGGAAATTTTAGATAATCGAAATTTTTTCTATAATAATCCACCTAGACCAATGTGAATTTGGCATGAAGATTTGGAAGGCAGATATTCAAAGTTGTATAACTCCAATGTAGCCCATCAATAGTTTGGGTCGATCCATGATTATACTGGTATTAATCTTATTTCTCTTCATAAAAATTGTTTTAATCTGTTGTTTATATGACCAACTTTTGTCTACAACTTTCAAGGTATAGTTCATACAGATTTATAGATTATTTGACGTTTGTTTCTGATAATTTAACAGTCAACTAATTTGAAGATGATATTTAGTAACCTTTTTACTTTCTATAAAATTATTTTTGTGTCAAAACACAAAATTGAATTTCTCAGTGTAAAATGTCTGAAATTACGAGCCTTTTTAAACGGATTTCCGGAAGCGAATTTCCTCATGAAAGCAAGAACGAGTATGACGCCAAGGTAAGGTATAAGTCAGTACGTGAGTGTATTAACCCTAACCAGTGGCGTGCTGGCAGGGGGGGGCCACGCCCCCGCCCCAGCTGGCAATTCTTGGGGGGCGCAAAAATAAAAATGGGGCGCCGAATTTTGAAAGTGTGTGGACAAAAACACATTCTCGAAAAAATATGGTTACTTCCGCCAAGAAAAGACGTGTTTATAAGCTACAGTATAAAACAGACTAAGCGCATAGGCGACATATTTTGCCTAACCGTATTTGCTACCTCACTGCTCACACGAAATCGTTCATATAAAAACATGATCAGTGATCACAGGCAATGTCTCATTACCGGAATATTGGTCAGGTTTCGATCGAAGCGATCACGGGAATTATGCCCTTTTTTGCTGGTATTATGCCCTTATAATATGCCCTTTATTATGCTTCACGAATCACGAGGGCGGCGCAAATTAGATAGTTGAAGTTATGATAACTGATGTAAAGTTGTGTACGCAATTTAGTTGTTTGCACAAGAAGCATGAGTAATGTAAGTAATGAAATAATGCTGAAACATGCCCTTTGGGCAGCCAGGCAAAGAAACCTTAAAATGCATATGCGTGGGGTGCGTGTGTTATTGTATAAAAGAGCTTTAAGTTGTAAATGTGCTCAGAACAGTAAATCAGTAGAGAACAGAATTGGGATTAAATTAATCGCTGGAAGTAGCTAGCATTGCATAATTTAAGTACTACAACTAAATTCTAACCAAATTGCAAATTTCGACACGTTATAATGCCGTTTCCTGACCATCAGATTTCTGTCAAATCTTCCACCAAAGTCCAGGAAATGGCATTTCAAAGACTCAAATTCAAAAATTTTCCTGGGGGGCATGCCCCCGGACCCCCCTAGACAAACCTCGCACCTGCGGCACTCGGCTCGTGCCTTCGGCTCTCGTTTATCAAGTGTAACATTATAGGGGCGCATATTGGTTGACAACCCACTGGCCCCTCCGGAAAAATAGTACCCAACACGCCACTGACCCTAACAAGCAATCGAGTTACGGACTGTAACCTAAGCTACGTGCATGGTCAAAGGTTTGAAATTATGTTCACGTAATAAAATGCTAATTTTATTTAGAACTCTAAATAAACAATAGTCCACTAACAATAGTGATTTTTTTTTCTATATTCTCGGTAGCAGTACAATTTTGTTACCTTTGTCAACTTTCCCTTATCCATTGCTTTCAAACATTCTAGTTTCTCGCGATGTTTAATGGATTTCTTGTGCTTCATCATTTCCTTTTCCTACATGTATGTAAACCAAAGTAAAAATTTAGAAATTCCCTATACCTACAGCCTCAAGAATAATATAGTTTACTAAATGAATACAATTATTTGCAATACAACAGGGGTGGAAAAAGTATCGGAACCTGGGAACCTAGTTCCCAGAAATTTTTTTGAGTTGAGAGAGTTTTGCAGAAAATTTTCCAGAAAATGTTTGAACATTATGAGATAACTCTATTTACTCAACTTACAAGTTACAACTATTCTACTTTATTTACGCTGTACACGCTAACGTCAGCAGCTTTTAAATATTTGACAGAAATTAAGAGACAATCTCCACTAAAATCGAGCAAAATCGAGAATACGTGGCACATGAGGAAAAATAAAAAATCTTCTTATTTTTTCCAGTGATACTCTAATGTGTACTCAGAAACGTGGTGGAGTTTGTTTTCTAAAATATTATTTTAAACGCCGAAAATTATCAAAACCTCACACATACCCGAGATTCGCGAAATTAGCAAAAAAAAATTGTGAGCTACGGCCTCTCGAAAATTTCGTTTTTCTCAATTGGCGTGTGATGAAACCTCACCTTTCGTTTTTAAACGTGTTTATACGATGTTTATAAAGAACGTGGGTCCAATTTGCAATTGTTGAAATGATTTTTCAATGTCAAGACAAGCGTGTAAAAATCATCTTTTTTTGCGATCCAAAAAATTCTAAATTGTTACACTTTTTGAAAATTAATTTTCCGTATCCGGGAAAATTCCAATTTCCTTGAAATTTACGGAATTTAAAGAGAAACTGTTGCTCTAAAACCTGATGTAAAAATTATTTTGGGGCTTTTTGTTACCGCGGAATTATACTGACTATAATATCGAGAAAACTTCACCTATAGACAGTCGAACCTTTATCATTCTTGCTTGTTTTCTCTTGTTATTAATAGGAAATATAAAACGTAGATCATTTTATTAAACTAGTTTGCCTATTTCTAGATAAATATACGCTGTTAAACTCTCCAAGACTAAGATTTCTGCTTCAAATTCTTGTTTCGATTGATCGATCCATGCGCGCCAATTAAAATAAACTAGAAACACTTGTACACTCGCTAGATTCAAAGCTATATATACTTACCATAAACAGTCAATTACTTATATTTGAGCATGTTGTGCTCTAAGCAGTTCAGTTTAAGCGTCAAACTTCGGCCTTATTTTCATTGAAGCCGGGCAAGTTCAGTCGTTTAATTAAAGGGACAGCTAGGGCCGTTCCTAGCGTGATAATTGGGGGTGTATATTCATATATTCGTCTTCTGCCCGACAAATTTCTTTTGAAACTGATTGCTTTTACGGTATCGAGCATGAATATATGAATATATTATACCTCAAATTCAAATTGTCCAATGAAAAAACAGCATTTGTACCACGTGATAGTGTAATTTTTTACGGTATTTCACTCAAATTCATGATTTCGCAATCCAGCGTGGGATACTATAATATCCCACGGCAGATCCACCGTGGGATATTATAGTATCCCACGCTCACGCGCGACGCGTGGACACCACGCTCTGAATTCTGAAACAATATGGCGTTCGCGAGCTGTTGCATGTTTGTATTAATTTCGTACAGAACTACAGAAGATTTTAATATTAAGTAAACCAAATATTTCAACACGTATGTTACTTTCAACGATCCAAAGGATACTTGCTCAAATAGTTTAAGGAGAAAATTATTATTATTATTATTATTATTTGGTGTTTAATTACACATTTTCGCATAAACAATGAATTACAATGTGTTTACATTCAAAGTCAAATTTAGTTCATAGTTATTTACACGGTCATAAAATTTAGGGTAAAATAGGTTACGAATATTATTAATATATAAGTTAAGATCGAATAGTAAGTTAAGAATATTGTTAGAATTTAATAATTTAATCTAAGGTAGGTTCCTTTCTCTATTTCATGGCATTAAGTTCAACAATTGCTCTTGGAAAGAAACTGTTTTTAAAGCGTTCAGTTCTGCATTTATACAATGACAGATTATTTAAGTTTCTAATATAATATTGTTGAGCACAAGCTCTGGATTGTGCCACGTGTTCAACACGGGGCCTGCTCGTTTAGCAATCTTCTGTAAGGTATTTATACAGGTTTCGTTTCGCCTGTCACTAAGTCTTGTGCAATTAGCCAATTGGAGAGCTTCGTCGTATGAGTGGCCAGGAAAGATAATGCGCATGGCACGCTTTTGTACTCTTTCCAGTTCGTCTGACAGATAGCGAGGTATTGCGTAATTCCATACCTCACAACAGTATTCCAGAATAGAACGAATAAGAGCGAAGTATATGTTGGTAAGCTCAGCAGGAGGGACACCACCGCGGCATAATACGCGAAGACCGTATAACCGTTTGGAGGCCTTGGTGACGATTGATCGAATTTGCTCGTCCCATTTAAGATTGTTTTGAATAATTAAACCCAACACTTTGTGCGATTGTACCGTTTCTACCACGTAACCATCAATTGTCAAAGATGGTAGCTGCGGGGTTTCTTTAAGAAAGGAAACCCGGAACTCTTTGCACTTTTTGGCATTCAATTTCATACAATTGTAAGTTGCCCATGAATCGATAGAATCAAGAGTTGACTGAGTGACCGAGAAGCTGTTCGATGTAAGATTTTCAGAGGATGAGACATCGTCTACAAATTTCCACATTTTCGTGCCTGGGGAATTTACTCTCAAATCATTAATCATAATGAGGAACAATATTGGACCAAGTTTAGTCCCTTGAGGGACCCCGGTTTTAGTCCCTTGAGGGACCCCGGCTGTCACTGGAAAAACGTCAAAAACTCAGGTATAGATAAGAAATTAAAAATTGTATTCGCGTAATTATTAATATTCCGCAAGTTTTAAATAAAGTTTATTCTGAACTTGATAGACTCTTAGTGAGTTCTTTAACTTTCGGTATAATATATCATTTATAGACCCTCCGCTCGGGGGATTCGGCGATATTTCCCTCAGTGATGATATTTTCCTCGGGGCAAAGCCCCTCGGAAAATATCATCACTTCGGGAAATATTACGCCGAATCCCCCTCGCTCCGGGTCTATAAATGATAAATAACCCCCCCCCCCATTATCGCGTCTAGGAACGGCCCTGTTGAGGGATATGATCGGAAATAGCATGAATATAGAAATTAGATTCCCTTATCTGAAAGAACTTTTAAAATGACGTGGAAAACATTTTAAATCTTTTTTTAAATCTCGCTTATTTCTCGACCTTAAGAAAAGCTTCTGTTGTGATGGAGCTAAACTGTGGAACTGATTACCTAAATGCAATTGACGCTTATAACGAGGGTTGAGGGTCGTACGTCGAGGTCGAGAGTCGAAAATAGTAAATTGTTATCCATTTTAAAAGTTTTACAACCATTTTGAAGGCTTCCAAAAGCGGCAAAACAATTAGTTTTGCTCTCAAAACTGAAAAATTTCGCCTACGGCTATAATCTATATGTATCCTGAAAGTTTCGCTGAAGAACTATAAGTCTGATGCGAGGTTTGATGTTTGAAAGTATACGTATTTTAATATACATCGGAATTTAAAATATACAAACGTGGGCGATGATCAGAGGCGATAATACAAAATTTGCGTTTCGCCAGTGCCTTAGCTAGCTCGATAATTGGGGGGGGCAGATATTCATATATTCGTGTTCACAGACCATAAAAACAGTCGATTTCAAAAGAAATTAATAACGCAGAACACGAATATATTAATATGTGCCCCCCCCCCCCAATTATCGAGCTAGCTACGGCACTGCGTTTCGCTCTCATGAGAAATTTATTATAAGAGGCTGTTTATATGGTCCCGCTTACCCGGGATTCAATGAAGTGTAACGTATTTTGATCAAGCAATTGAAATACGTGTTTCAGCCCTAAACAAAAGTTAGATAACTTTAAATATTTTTTAAACGAAATTAGGAATGCGCCTGAAGTTATGTAGTGAAAGAAGACGATTAATAGCATTCAACAACATTTGGTTTTTGTTTAAGACATGGAATTTCATACAATTTGTTACGAGCAATTTTGTTATATCATGAAGGTCGACTAATTTACATTGCTCAAAATACGCACGTCACACTTCATTAAATCCCGGGACCCGGGGAAGCGGGACCATGGCCCCAACTTAATGGCATGGCGGCGACGCAAATTTCGAAACCGTCGACGGTCGAGCACATCATTGATGATCGAACACATCATTAATCTCGTTCCCAGATTCCGAGAGCGCGCAACAATAATACAAGCTGCTTTCTCTAAGCCTCATTTTTATAGTATATTTTGTGTTCAATATATATAGATCACAGTAAAGCTTTTTTAATAAACACATTTAAAAAACACATTTAATGTAATAAGCACATTCTGAAATTGCTCAGAACTTCAACTTAACGATACTCCCTATAGGGTATGACATCGTGTTTACAAGTCTGATATGTTGGATAAGTTGCAGGAAAGTATGGGTAATATCTTCATTTTTTTGCAGTTTGTCATGGATAATGTAGCTGCTTAAAATTAATCAATTGTCAGTATTTAAGGGTATATTATTTAAATGATAAATAAAGGTCCGCATGATTTTGAAAAAAGAATGATTATTAGCAAATTGGTTTCTTAAAAGAGCAAGTCGCTTACATGCAGTTATTGTGCATATAACAAAGTAAATTCAACGTATGTTCTATACTTCAGGTTTGATATTACTTTATAATTTCTGTCTATTCGGAAGTTTATTTATACAAACTGTCAAACACGTCACTAATTACATTGACATTGTCATTGTAGTCACATCGCGAGTTTAATAAAATCTAGCCCTAATCTCAATGATTTATGCGACTGCTTCAGAGAAAACTAAGCAAATATATTTCAGTTTGAAAAAAGTAGATAATACGGATTGATTTTACGAGCTATTGAGACTTTGAGTAGTGGATTTAAGCAGGCTATCAATAACTGATCTTTTGTCTATTAATTAGGGACCGGTCATTATTTATGGCGGGGGGTGGCACCGAAGAGAAATGTTTTTCGTAGCAAAAATTTTGCTGACCCAACCATTAAAAAGTTTAAAAAAATGATTACCCAACCTCAAATATCAATTAAAAAATAAATACCCACCCCTGGCCAAAAAATTTACAAAAGGTACCGTTCAGTTGTCACATATGTCCTTTACCACTTCTGTGACATAAGTTTGACAACGGATTGTGAAATTTTCTGCAGTCTGAAGTTTCATGTTGTCTGCACATGTAGCTACTTTCTTTGGAGATCCCATCGGAAATTGATCAAGATAATGACTCTGATTGATATATACTTTTCGTTGTTTCTTTACACATTTAGTAAATCTTAGTATAACACCAAGTTCATCAATTGCTGCTACTTTGCTAGCAAATCCATGTATAATAAACCCGGGTGTTTTGCAATCAAAAGTGATGCAACCTGGATAGTGCAATAAGTTGACTACTGTAGGCACAATTTTTGGCCACTTAATAGTCAAAGGTCATGCATAAATAAGAACAGTCTTTAATATTACCGCCTTACGGAGACTTTATATTAATTGTGCTACTCTAGGATCTAGAAGACCCATAGGTCCCATACTCGACTAGCAACATAATCAAGTTAGTTATGTTAATTCATTATATATATAGGATCAATGTTAAAGGCAAGGTGGGCTATAAGCTATAATTATTTGTATGACTTATAGAAGGCTAATTGCTGCGAATAAATTGAATAATGAATGTAGCACAATATTAAATAGTTGCATGATGACGTCAAAGAAACTAGTCAGACTACATTTGCAAGTTTTGCAACTCTCATCGCTTAAATTCCCCATACCTGAATACAAAATAAACAGTAAACAACGATTACCTTTTACATACCATATATAACACGGAGTTTTCATCCTTTCTAGAAACTCACTTCCTGAACTTTTGAGCGCAAATGTAATGTATTAAAAATGTATATCATATTCACAGCGGTTAATACCATTAATATATCGCGGGCGCAATACAAAACAAAACACGAGAATTTTAAAATGTTTTGATTTGCAAATAAATAAATATTTGATGTCATAAAAATTTTAAAATTTAACTCAACACAAACTGGTAAGTTCATGACATGTATAATTTACTTATATGTTGTTATATTGCAATTCTGTACCCTACTCCTTTGAAAATTGTTTCCAATTGCATATGGTCATATGTATTATAGTTGTGTCATGAATTTAATAATACCCCAATGGCTTCGAAATAGACAATGGA